TGCTGTAAAGGAATGGGACTGTTAAAAAGCCTCAAAGTTATTTTCTTCCACAAGTGTACATAGGCCATAAAATCTGACCAAACCAAACTGATTATGGTGGCTTCATCTCACAGCTTTAAATCTTTAACTAAAATGTTTGCCTGGTAGCACCTGTATCCTTTCTATTTTTCATTTTATAAGAGACTGACATTCTACACTCGACAATACCCACATTCACAGAAATAAATCTAAACGTACTTCATGACATGAACATTTGTAAATATCAACTCTTATTATCCCCAAACCCAGAAAATCCAAATAAAACAGTGGCCTTTTGAGTAAAACCTGAGCTATGTTCAGTTATCGACCGTGTGCAATGGACGGTCACTGCGTGTGTGTGGATTCCCGGGAGGATTTAAAAATCAATGCCATTCAAATATGTAGAAATGTTGCCAAAAGGTTTCGAATTTCAGTGATCTTATTCTTCGACGAGAAACAGCGTCCCAGCTGATCAGAAAAAGAAGAGATTTGCGAGAGTATTAAACAAACTTTTTAAACTTTGTGACGTTTTCCTGGGGTTCGTCTCGACCCCTCCAGGCAGCTACCTATCACTCGTGGAATTTCTTACCCCTCGCCCAAAGCGCCACAAGGTGTTCCACAGGGGGAGTATCTACGTCATGCGTTCTTTACCACAGTCAGTCTACGTGTACTCTACCCAAGAATTTGCCAGAGTTAAGACTAGAAATTGTAGGCAGATGAGCTGTAACGTTTAACGAGTGTTACACTGTTTTATGTACCCAGTGGTCTTAGTGCCTTGTTTGTATTAACCGTTAGAGGAATGTCACAATCTACACATTAGGATCGCATTTAACAAACAGACTTATATAAAGACAATTCAGTCTAAGGAAAATACTATACTGCGTATAGTAACGTCAAGGTTGTCTCAAAATCGAACGTCGTAAAAAATGTTTGCATATTGCATTGTTGGGACATTAAATATATTTATCATATTACGTATTCAACATGTTGGGAAAGGACACTTCTATGACCTATGACATTTTGTGAATCATTTTTTAAAGAGACAAATAATCACTTTCGTCAGTTCAAAAGGACTGGGAGCATTCATGCGAAAAGAACAATTCAGTGGGATTGAGTGAGTGAGTTAAGATTTTAATTGAATCATTGGATCATTGGATTGAATCATTCAATGTAGCGAAACATCGTGCAAGTGATATACGTGTCATGTCTGCACAACCTAGTACCACGGTAAAGCTGATATGCTTTTCGAAGCGGCCTTAAATGGAACTCACCCACTCCCAAAGACGTGGAAAATCACAAACACACATAACAAACTTTATACAATTTGAAATCAGAAACTTTATTGTAACATATATAAAATCCCATTATTAAGACTAAATAATCGGTTAGATCACAAATGAAGGGTAAGTCCTTATTTGAATTCTAATAGTTTCATACAACAGAGCCATTTTAACTAAAATGTTTCATGATATGTTTTCCATTATCATGTTTTCAAGTTTTAAAAAGTTAATCAATGTACCTGGTACAAATGTGTTTTGGGGTCAGGGGTTGGGGCGTGTACCATAAGGACATTCTGACTCATCTAAATAGCACTGTAGGTCTCAGGATGATGAAATTCTGGGACAGCTCGTAGAATCCTTAAATCGATGTTGAAGTCAAGAAGAAAGGGTACTGGAGGGTTAGTTTCCGGACGGCCTGAACCCGTTTACCGAAGGTCGATTGTCCACATAATGCCTCCTTTGGGCTGAACACTGTATAAAACTGTATAGCCTCAATCATCCACCTTGTCTTGAGCAATGGGGATTTCACTACCAGAATACTTTGTTGTAAAAATAATCACATTAATTTCTGCGAACACCAGGTGTCATCCCTATTTGATAGTGATTCATAAACACATGGTCATGATATAGTCGGAAGTATACAGTTGACTTTGCTTTCAGTAGAGATTTCAAATGATTATGGAGACGGTTTTGTCACTTATATTACTGCACTATCTTCAATATCATGAATGACACTGAACAATTGTTCATTATTGTTCTTCATAACCAATTTATAACATGCTCTCAACTTAACGAAGTTTATTAAGAGATTATTCAACAAGTGTGCAAGATACTAAACAACCTTGTTACCTAAAAGACAAGTATTGTAAGAACGATATAATTGAACAAAAGTTTAAGAAAGGTACGATGATAAAGAAAATAAACCTTAGAGTTCCTTAAATATAAAAGAATAAGCAATAATACATATATACTTTGCCATTGCAAGAGAATAACCAGTCCATACCATATATACCACCGAAACCTATTCTGTGTGTTTGTAAAGGGAAAGCGGCTGTGAAAAGGGTATGATTTGACTTTTCCTTCCCTATCAACTTTAAAATAGATAAGACATATTCTTCATGACTGCAGTCATTTCAGTTATCCATACGATGTGAAATGATAACCCATAGCATTACATACCGTACTAAGTAAACACAATATCACAAGAAAGTGGACCTTATGAGTAAGGCAATGTCGGTTTTCTCCTGTATGTCAGTATACAGTCTGCTTGCTGAGCTTTGTATGTTTATGAACATTTCAACTGGTATCGATAAATGAACAGCTCTGTCAGTATCGAGAAGAAGGTCAAATTTGCACATCGGAAATGATAAAGTTCTGAGGTGTTTGCATACCTCCAGTATTTGAATCCTTGAAACATCGCTCTGACATACGTCGGTTCCTCTTTATTTTGTGTACATTACAATAATTCCTCATACGTCAGAATACTGTTTCCTCGTGTAGATTCAAACTGAGCTAGCACTGGCCAGCACTTATCACGTCAATGCTATTTCCTCCTTCTGAAATCCTTGAAACATCATACCACAATCGGCCGCCGTTTTATTGACATTTTTGCTAGATTAACACAAGAACTATTCGGAACGTTTCGATCTGACATTTTCCGATAATTTTTATAGCAAATGTCCCCCCATACACCGAGTGCAGTTTACGAAGGACAGATATGGGCCTTCAGAAGCTCTTGTGGAATTTCTCTGATCAGGATGATTCTACGTGGATACAAGACTAAGACTTGTCTTCCTCGTCAAGTGTGAATTCTAGTAATGCCAATATTTAGCTACCAATTCGCATCAAGAGGACATCAAATATGATCTCGTATCTAGAGCTCACGCAATTTTGTAATGTGTTGTCACGAGGTTGCGTAAGTTTATGTGTTTGGTATACATTTTTCAGGAAACGGTAAAAATCAAGAAAATAACAGGGTATTTATGTTGGTTTATGAGATCACTAAAGGTATCCTTAACACGTGTAACAGACATGATGTTACAGAGATAAAAGAAATAGAATGGGATATGTTAAGGCATAAATATTCAGAAGGCAAAGAGCTGCACAGCTGTATTTGAAGTCGTTTTAGGAATTGACTAACAAAAGTAGTTTTGGCAAATATGGATTTTTGTCTAGTGAGTAATTGTCAGTGGCCAAGATGCTGCTGACATCGACAAAAGATAATCTTCGTGTTTCCACCATTTGTCGTATTCAGTAATATCACTAAACCGATATGTTCAAATACCCAGTAACGTCCACACAGGCAACATGTTACGTAGAACTAATCTGACTATTTTAGCATGTCAGATAGTGCAGGGGCACTTAATGAACATCCTTTTAAAGAGAATGGACATTATTAAAACATTTAATTCATAAACGAGAAATAGGAGATTTAAAAGTAATTATAACAGTGAGCACATGGTAAAATCGTTGATTTCGTCGGTATTCTGCCATGACACTTTATGGAATCTGTTCCCGTTGATAATCGAAACTCCATCTTCACTGAGGTTGACTTTTGATATTGAATCACGCTCAAATGAGAGAAATGTCACACCAAAGTTCCTGCGGAAATGAATATGATTTGTCAATAGAAACTATCGGACAGACAGGTTGGAAACAAAAGACAAACGTCAATAGTAACGTGCTTGTCTTTCATCTCTCTTCCGGGGCCAGCCAGGAAATACACACACACCTGAACCAATTTCAATAACTCAGGTGATCAACATTGCTCGGACACAGTGGACAATGACTTTGCTTCGGTATGCCGCTTGACTACTGGCCAACATTTAGTACTGGGATGATGGTTTACCTGTTTATCGCTTGTCTCGTTGAATTTTATTTGAGAGTCAAATGGAGTTTTGTGAGTTCATTTGAGTGTGAGTCTTCATAAAGCGAGGGCCACATTATAATGGACGTCGGAGTTTGGTCGTACATTTCCCCAATCTGGCGACAGTAATATCACTAAACCGATATGTAATATCACTAAACCGAATTCCAAGTTTTGATTTAGTTTATATAATCATAGTACTATTTTAACACACACATTAATATAATATATTTTGAATATATTTTGTGTTTGGAAAGGCGTAAAAAGGATTTATATGGAGACAGTCGTGATTACTATAATTTCAACATACTTGTTCCCATTAAATAGCAAACGTCAGCTTTGATTATCCGTCGAAACTATTTCCATTACATTAAAAGGCAAAATAACGCTGAAAATGTTTTGAATGGATAGCTTAAAATCATAAGCCGTTTATATACCGGGTATTCACAGTCATCTCTGAAGCTCAATAAGAAATTGAGACAATACAATGAAAAAATCACACGGTTACGAAACAATAATCAATTATCAAGTCTAAACTTGTATTCAATGACCTTTGATAAGATAAACAGGGAAAGATAATCCGACATTTCATGATTCCAAAATACACACACGGATTACCGAACATATTGGTACAATAATCATATTGCTTGTCTGCAACTCTTCACGGTGATTTAGAAGTCAGGTTAGGAATTGACGATACCGGATATCACAAAGAAACGTAGATAAAAGAAAAAACATCTGCAAATCTTCAAAACACATGTTTTCTAAGTTTTTTTACCGATCTCTAACAAAGTTCTTTAATTTCGACCTGTCGAGAGAAGCCACGACAAACAAATATGGCCGCCATTTCAACAGGAAGTAAATCTAGGGGAGGGGTTTGCGTACTCAAATCACACATGGCGTTTTGACTAGGAGCTTTGTCGACAAACTGCCGCTGTCCGTTTTCACCGCTGGAGTAAAGAACTTATCCATTTAGTAAATAATGTTAGGCCCCTACCAGCCAGGGCAGGCTGACAATTCGCTATAGCCTTTGATAGGCCAACGTATTTTCAATCTTTGATGGGTGGTTTGTCTTGTACCTTCAGAACGTGCCATTATAAGATTCTGCGTTACTACGCTTGTGTTTGATAGTTTGGAAACGCCCTTTGTGATGTTAATAAACACTTGGAGACAATAAGGCAATCATGTTTGATTATGAATTAGGGGAATACCTGTCCTGGTAATGGTGTATGCTGGGGTCACTCGTTTGATTCAATGTGATGTCCACAGGATCAGCTAGTTCGTGAGGTTTCTGGTGTTTTATGTTTAATGATGAATTGTTACACTTCTCAAACATTGCTATCATCTCACGCGTTGACATACTGTGTTTAAGATCAACTGGGCGTTGTGGCGTTTAAGATCACCTGTTGTCACGTTCACAAATGTACATACAACATACTTTCCTTAAATGTTGAAATGTGAAAACAGTCATAATCAGACATTTTCAATATGAAAACAGTCATAATCAGACATATTCAGTATGAAAACAGTCATAATCAGAGATTTTCAATATGAAAACAGTCATAATCAGACATATTTCAATATCAGAACAGTCATAATCAGACATATATTCAATGTTAAAACAGTCATTAGACATATTCAATATGAAAACAGTCATAACCAGACATATTCAATGTTAAAACAGTCATAATCAGACATATTCAATAGGAAAACCGTTATAATCAAACATATTCAATAGGAAAACCGTCATAATCAGACACATTCGATATGAAAACAATCAGAATCAGACATATTCAACAGTGAGTGAGTGAGTTCATATTCAATAGGAAAACAATCATAATCAGACACATTTAGTAATGAAAACAATCATAATCAGACATATTCAATATTAAAACAGTATAAATCAGACATATTCAATACGAAAACAGCCAAAGAGGCGACTAACCGGATCGGATGGTCAGGCTCGCTGACTTGGTTGACACATGTCATCGGTTCCCAATTGCACAGATCGATGCTCATGCTGTTGATCACTGGATCACAAAACTCACTCACTCACGAACACAGTCATAATGGGATAAACGGATGTCAAATGTACAAATCACCTGGCGATTATTCACAAAGTCATTGCTGTAACTTATAACGTAACTTAAATAACTCAAGTAACTTAAATAAGTGTCTGAACTTTGTTCCACGGTGGCAGTAGACACAAGAAAAACTTTCACCAAATTACATTTCCAAACGGTAATGGAAACAATACAATACTATGTATACGTACCAGAGGCCTTTTGAACAATAAACCATCTTGATCTTGATCTTGATAATTGTTGACTGTCAGTGGTATATACTCTGTATATGAATGACCAATAGGTAATGTTGTATAACAATGCAAGTATTCAGCATTTACACAAGGGGGCGATGGGGTAGCCTAGTCTAGCGTTCGCTCGTCACGCCAAAGGTCCGGGTTCGAATCCCCCGTGGGCACAATGTGTGAGGTTCACTTCTGGTGTCCCCTGCCGTGATATTGCTGGAATATTGCTAAAATCGGCGTAAAACCCAACTCACTCACTCTAGAAATCTAATTGATTTTATATTATATTATATATTTTTACTTACCCGTTGATTCATCTTATATGTTTGTTTTCAGATCCCACGTTTAAAAGGGTGTGCTACTACACCAACTGGTCCCAGTACAGAAAACAACCGGCCCGCTTCTTCCCGTTCAACATCGACCCCTTTCTCTGCACACATCTGATTTTCGCGTTTGCCAAGATTGATTTCAAGGGTCAGCTTGCTCCCTATGAATGGAACGATATACAATATCCACGTAAGCACAAACATTTTTAATTCATGTATATGATTTTGAACGTGGCAGTTCAATATCTTAATGATTCATAACACATCTCTTTGATTATCGGACTGGTACAATCGACGATGCCTTTCTGATTGGGAAACTTTTTTTCACATTTTGTAATTAAGACGTAACGTATCTTTAATACTGTTTGATATTACAAAACTCGTGTAATTAACATCTGTATTCGACATATATTAATCATTTGCATAAACTCCTGGTTTCATTTTGGTATTCTGTAATTTGTGCAAAATATCTAATGAATTTCAATGTAAATGCTACACATAGTGGTTGAGGGCATATATTGTTATCGTTCTAGTCCCTTTGTTGGTGGGTCGGGTGGCCATGTGGTGTGCCCAAAGCATCTCACCGAGTTCAACTTCCCCTTGCTCTGACATTACAGGAGTAAACCTTCACTTATTCACTCACTATACCGTCGTTGCGTCTATTACTTTTCAGATCTATACAAACAGTTCACTGGCTTAAAGAAGAAAAACCCACACTTGAAGACCTTGTTGGCCGTTGGTGGATGGACTCATGGTTCCAGACCTTTCACAGACATGGTGAAGACACCGGAAGGACGTAAATCCTTCATTGAACAATCTGTCCAGTATCTGAGAGCACATAACTTTGACGGAATTGATCTTGACTGGGAATATCCTGCTAACCGAGGCAGTCCTGCAGATGACAAGAAGAAATTCTCCCTACTCGTAATGGTAACTACCTCCTTACAATATATTTCTTTCTTCGAAAACCCTCTTCTTGTTTCTTGTTGCTCATAAGACTGATTGCTTTCAATCGTATAAGGCGCCAATTAGGCGTGCCAGAATTCGATAAGCGTTGGTCCAAATCCCGTACTTACATGAATAGGTATCAATGTGCTTATTGCACTCTACACGTGCTTGTCGATAAACGTTTAAAATATATATTATATTATTTACTCCCACGGACAGCTACCAAACTGTGATATCACTGTAAGGCGGTTCAGAGTGATGTTCAACCAAACTCAATACCTCAATGCCTACTGCCAAACTGATGCTGTTTTCTCTACGCTACAGATGCCGATTCCGTTATTTTTACCCAAAATCTCTCTTTGATTCTCACCACGAATTCAATCTCATCCTGTTTAAACTAGTTCCCTTCACATGACAGCGATAATACCGACGTTAGAATTAGTTTTTAGTAGGGACATTAAAGGAAACAATTTGATCCGTTCTGTCAATGTTAGTGGAACTGCAAGGTGGGATGAGTTCCTGTTTTAGACTTTAAGTCTCTAGCAGAGTAACCCTTGTGAACATTGCATAACACGCTTTGATCTCCCCGTGTTCAGGAACTAAGAGATGCGTACGAGCAAGAAGCTGTGAGGACAGGAAAGGAGCGCCTCCTGGTGACAGCAGCAGTTGCTGGTGGAGAAAAGATTGTCAAGTCGGCCTACGAGGTCCCAGTAATCAACAAGTAAGCAACCTCCAAAAAGTTAGCTGACATCCGAATCAATGTGTTTAAAATTGTATTATGCTAGTTTTAACTCTGCTCCTAAAGTCAACCACCATCAACATTATGCCCTGCCTGTTTATTCCGAACCACAAAGCCACATTTTTTAAATTTGTCTTTTTTCTAAAAAATAATGTGGTGTTTTTTGTTCAATGAAAATGTTTCTCTTCAGTTCCCCATATTGACGCGAAAGCTGAAACTACATTGTCTCATATAAAGGCAAATCAACCCCATCCCATTTCTGACCTTAATACAACGTGCAGATAACTTCTCGTTTGGTATTTTATTATTGATAACCCTAATTGTGAGGGGGGTGGGGATGGGTGTCATGTTGATGTCCCTGTTATAACATATGTAATATTTGGGATTACACTTTCTTAGTAAAGTACAGATTCTCGGTGGTTGAGCGGGCTAGACGGCTGACTTTGTGTGCTTGCGATTAGGTGCCTGAATCTGAGGGTGCGGGTTCGAATCCCGGATGGGACTCAACCCAACAAAAGTACTAGAATCTGTACTTTACTAAGGAAGTGTAGTCCCAAATATAACATTTGACCACTTTCTAAATGGCACTGTGTAATCGTCCCTGAAATATCAAATAATTGTTCTTCGTTACCGCCATCACTGTTATATACTGTTTGTCAAATATTGATGGCTTGTATTCTTTTGCAGATATCTCGACTTTATAAACCTAATGAGCTACGATCTTAATGGAGCCTGGAGTAAGGCGCTGGGTATCAATGCTCCCCTCTACAAATCCAACTCTCCTAACGCTCCTTCCAAATCGACAAGTGTGGTAAGAAGCCGTATGCAATATGCTATCGAGCAGTATTCAATCCAAATTAAATAATACTAATATAATACATATATACATATATATGTCAATGTCAAATCACCAGCAGTGGTAATTCTGAATGGCATTTAGTTTGTGTACCTTTTTCTTTAAGAAAAACGATACTTGTTGACTTGTGTGGTACATCCAAACTACCATAAGTATCCCTTGAGCTTACAGTTTGAAAAGTCTTTGGCACAACAAATTTGGTCCCGATAAGTTACTCGACTGATGGAATCCCCTATGCATCTCGATTATATAGAAACAAAATCCTCTTTTAACCCTAGGATGAAGTTGTCCAATTGTGGCTGGACCTGGGTGCCACCCGAGACAAGTTGGTGATGGGTATCCCCACGTATGGCCGTTCCTTCACGCTCTGCTCGGATAAACAGATCAACGTTGGTGACAAGAACTGTGGAGCAGGACGCCCCTCGCCTTTCACAAGAGAAAAAGGATTCGTCTCTTACTATGAGGTAAGCATGTCATGTAACACAAATGGGACCGCTTCTACTGGAGCCGCTTTCAGGCTTGGTATATACTTATGAGGGCCTTGTTGCAGGTGAGACAGGTGAGGTGAGGTGAAATTGGATTTAACGTCGTGCTTGAGAATATTTCGCTCATATGACGACGTGCATGCGTGTGTGTGTGTGTGTATGTGCGGCTGCTTGTACTAGCCCAGACTGAAGCTGGTTTTATAGTGCTAGCCCACTGAGATACCATGCCGCAGTGAAGCATGGATACCCCACTCAGACACATTATACTGACTCCAAGCCGACCAGTCCTTGTTGTACCCATTAATGCCGAGCGCCAGGCAGGGACCAACAAGTACCATATTTTAACGTCTTTTGATATGACGCGGTCGGGGATCGAACCCGCGACCTTCCGCTCTCCGGGCGGACGCTCTAACCACTACACCACAGAGGCGGTCGCAGGTGAGACAGTGTCTGGTATTAGGGTAATATTCCACTGTCGGAGTACCACACATTACGCAGTTTGTATGTTTGTTTACAATATGATATAAAACTTCAGCACCAGTGAATTATCAATATCGATTATTTGCCGAAACCAATTACATTTCTGCGTTAAAAGCCCAATGAATAGATCACTGAAAATCCATGATGACATCAGGTGTTCGCGAAAAGGTTGAGCATGGTCTGTCTACAGGAGCACCTACAACTCATACTGCTAAACACCGCAACCATAGAGTCTTGACCTGCCAAAACACATAGCATGATGCTTGAACAACTAGGCTGGGACTCCACTTTCTTCGAACCGAGTCCGCCTTTAATATGTAACAATCTTTTACGCTATCATTATTTGACCCAAAAATAATTTTAGTGATTAGTGCTTCAGTTTATCAAATTATTATGGAGATGGTTGGTGTAACTGTGAATGTGTGCTCTTCATTTGTCGCGACCAAGAGTGTCATTATTTACGAACATCTCTTCAGCAAAAATGTTTGAATGTTATTGTTTCTGACGTTCGTGGCAGCAACAGGTGGAATGTTTATGTTTCTTTGTGTCAAGGAACAAATACAGGCCACCAAAATAACGTTAGAAACATGTGGCGATCGCTGTAAAGCTATTTTAGTCGATGTCTGGTGTGACATTTTGTCTCAAGTCATTGGCATTTAGAATTTATTTAAAACAATACAAACGGCACTGTTAACACTAACAGTATGTTACAGAGTGTAACTATGTTCCTCTGTTAATACAATAAACAATAGTGTCCTCACTGTCTCTGAAATGACTCAGAGTAAATATAGGGAAACATTGCTTGCAAACACATTTTTTATTCAAGATTTCACAAAATCATTGGCCTTTAGAACAGAACAGAACATAATTATATTTCAGTAACAGGCCTCCGGCAAAAATACATATTCATAAATTGATGGATTATTAGAGCACATATAATCTATTTCATTTAGATTTGTGTTTCTTGTCAACATAGTATAAAAATAGACATACATCCTTGATGATATTAACATTTTTATTCTGTAATATAGATACAAAATTAATAATTGATGGGCATTTACTAAAATGATTTGATATGTACTTATTTCTGATATGAGAATATGCATCACAGATATAAAACACATGCCATTCATCTTCAACAACGAAGATACCATTTAATTTACAAAACAGGCAATGCCTTTCATTATATACAACATTAATGTATCTACCAGGTTCAACTGATAGTTTAAAATTACAACACCGAAATCGGGCATATATATTTTTTAGATATTGAGGGATATCATTATTTACCAAGTAGCTCTCTACATTTATAAAGGATTTGAATTGTTTATAATAAAAACATTTATGGCTGCTATCCAAAGATAATTGCTCAAGATTGGAATAAATTATCATGTCATCTCTGTTTAAATGATTCAATAAATATTTTATGATCACCAATTTCCTGGCCTTTAGACACCAATATGGACACTCAGATGACTTTACTAAATATGACAAGATGCGCGAGTTCCCATATCATTACCTACTACCACTCACGGAAGCGCATAACATGCTTACCCTTTTCGCGAGCATCTGCTGTTATCACTGATATTCATTCACATAATCTTAAACAGTACTTTGCAGTTTACGTCATATTCAATCTGTTTCGGTAGACATTCAAGGCTTATTATTCTCCTGCTTGGTTCCTTACGTCACTGTCCATTGAGTTGGCATCAAGCGTTTGAAACCATAACTTTCTAAGTGTTTACGTGCAGAATGCAGCATCTTCATTATTGATATATTTAGAATCTTAAATTTAAAATTGCCATGGAATTGAGTGAACATCTCAAATTTCGTGCAGAGACACATTATTTATGTGGAAGACTTATAATTGCATTATAGCCATTCATATTTTCACGGCGAGAGGGTCAACTGATTCACAGTTTATGGTATGGCTTTGTGCACGAACATATACCTGATTCTCATTGATTACTGTCATTCTATCAATATTTTTATCAATAAAGAATCGAACTTTCTGCAGGATGATTCCCTATGTAGATGCTAACATATGAACATGTATCACAGCATATAATATTATGGATATGAGTTTGGCGTATGATCTTATGAACTGGAATTGCATTGCCCTATTGCACTGGTGTTGCACTAACACATACTCTCTGTGAATTTGAACTCATATCTGTTCTTATTACAGATGTCCAAGTACCTTCAACAAGACTGGACAAGGGTATGGCTAGAAGACCAAATGGTACCTTATGCCTACAACCTTCGTCTTAAGCAGTGGGTCGGCTACGATGATATTCAGAGCGTGAAGCTCAAGGTACGTTGCTCCATTTAGATTTGTTAAACATGTCTCTATAACCAGGCAACTGGCACGCTGTCCTGCAAAACACTAACATCGACTTTGTGACCAGGTAGATTCACAGCTAGGGAATTTTGCCAGTTCTGACATGGCATTGTAACCAATGTATAGATTGTAGATGTATAGATCAATTTTAAGTTTAATGCAATAGCTTTACAATCACAATACCTTTACTTTTTATTGTTGTAACATTGCCGTCCATATAATGTTTTACTCGAATGTTCCACTAATTTTTGAAGTCTGCATCCCTGTCCCGCAACACTAAACCCACAAGCAGTTATAACCAAAAATTAGACCAAACTAAATTAACTGTGTAATCCAATCCCTGGTATTACTGAAACCCTGCAACCAGAAGCATATAACATCATACATGCAACCTTTCACATGGTCTTGTCGTCGACCTTAATCCTTTTGGTCTTACTACGAACCCAAACTTCTTCAGTGCAACAGGAAGTCAGCTTTCTGTTCACGTGAAATCATAGGGCGTAAAACTTCAGAAATGAATAATATATAAGTAAAAATACATTGACCTCAAGGCACATTATTCTGAATTATATGTTTTCCATTGTGACACCTACTTTTGATTCGTAAGTAAAAAATAAGTAAAATTACATTGACCTGAAGACTCACAAAGTCTTCTGAATCATAAGTTTTCCATCTTGACACCTACATATAATTCATAAGTAAAAATTATAAGTACAAATACACTGACCTGAAGACTCACAAAGTCTTCTTAATCATAAGTTTCCCATCTTGACACCCCATCATTTGAAGACTCACAAACTTAATCTAGTTTCCCATGACATAATTCGTAAGTAAAAAATAAGTAAAATCACATTGACCTGAAGACTCACAAAGTCTTCTTAATCATAAGATTCCCATCTTGACACCTACATATAATTCATAAGTAAAAATAAGTAAAATTACATTGACCTGAAGACTCACAAAGTCTTCTTAATCATAAGATTCCCATCTTGACACCTACATATAATTATACCTTAATAAAAAAATATAAGTAAAATTACATTGACCTGAAGACTCACAAAGTCTTCTTAATCATAAGATTCCCATCTTGACACCTTCATATAATTCGTAAGTAAAAAATAAGTAAAATTGCATTGACCTGAAGACTCACAAAGTCTTCTGAATCATAAGTTGTTCATTTTGACACCTACACTTAGTTCATCCGTGCAATGCTGGAAGATGAGGGAAAATTCTATCATCATTTGACACCTTGCTTTGTACACAAACATGACGTCATATGACGTATGTACCATTGTTTCCAGAAAATGCAAGACATATCCCAAATGTTTTTTCATAATCGTTGGTGTGCCCAGAGAAGGGGGTTACATGCATTTGTTTAGACAAATCAAAAGTCAACAAGAGTCACGTTTGGGTATGGATGAAACATTTTGCCAATTCTGACCTCAAACACATGCCGATGGTCCAGCATAGTCGGACTAGTGTCTGTCAACTAAAGCTACCATAACTCACATTTCTTTCACATTGTTTGCCAATTTTTGAAAGAAGCTTTTTGTCCAATATGGGGATTGACACTGACACGTGAGACGAAATGTGATGGAAGAAATAGTTGGGACAATTGTTACGTCAAATACTACTGATTGGCAATATTATTCTCCTGTTAGAAGAATACAGACTTCGTCTGTTTTTCTTTTGTAATATGCGAATGCCTTCAGCCTGATAACTTTGTCTATTGTTTTAATGCATTCCAACCTTTCCTAAAACCAAATGCCTTTATCCATTCCTCTTTACTTTACGCTTTAAAATATGTAAACATGAGTACGTCTTTCACGGGTTAGAAATATTTAAAATTTCTCTGAAATATCTTACAAGATTATTGAACGGTGTCTTTTTTCAAATATTCAATTCAAATGTCACGGGCTTTTACACATAGTTTCACGAATGCAATGTTCTTTCTTTAATCTATGACTGTGTCTTCTACAAATATAAAACATCAGTGCAAAAGGATGCCCAGTCTTAACTTTCCTGAGAATACATGTCTCAAATACCTATACATTTCAGCCTGCTGTAATACTATTCTTATTGAAAGCATAAGAACCACTATTCTTCACGAAAGTTTTTCCACTTTAACACTGCTGTGTTTTGGACAAATACGGTCATCAAAGAGATGTAATAATTTCTTGTAATAATATCTTGTAATATTACATTGATTACTTAAGTATTTGTTCTTATATAACCACTCGGTCTATATAATTTAGACCATATGAACAAGAGACTGCAATGTATTTTTCATTCTTTTAATTCTCTGTTTGGTTGACAACACAAGTTGTACATAATGATTGCCCCACCCTAACGTTTTGTACAACTACTTCTATTAAGAAGTCTACCAAGTTTAAGGGCGTAGAAAGCAACAAATCGCAAGTAGCTTATGGCTATGTACTTATACATTTACTCCTGAAGAGGGTGTCATTCAAGTACAATATTTTGACATATGCATTTCCACATACATTACTAAAACGACATCTAGTAAGATTGATTTTTGTTGAATTCCGCACTATTCCAGCAATATTGAACATGTAAATAATCGAGTCTGGACCAGACCATCCAGTGATCAAAAGCATGTGCATCGAATTGGGATACGATGATATGTGTCAACCAGTCAGTGATCCTGACCACCCGATCCCGTTAGCCGCATCTTACAGCAAGCATGGGTTGCTGAAGACGGACAGCAGGGAACATCTTGTAGTTAATATATAACAGCAAGAAGATGTAACCTGCTTCATGTTCTCACTTGAGGGCGGAAGTGTCTCCAGTGAGAGTTTATCCAATGACAGTCATCTTCAATACTCAGTATCACATGCTGCAGAACAGCTATAGGTTTCGTGAACTTACTTTCGCTCACACCATTGTTTGTTCCAGGCACAGTACATCAAGCATCGTCAGCTGGCAGGGGCTATGGTGTGGGCTGTGGACCTAGATGACTTCAGTAATCTGGCAGGACGTGGCGAAGTCTACCCACTTTCGAAGGCAATCAGAGACGTCTTGGAAGACGCTGACTACCCCGCCTTTACCCCACCTCCAAAAATCGCAACGGTAAGAATAAATATGTGCATGTATTTCAATAAATGTGTCTATGTTACAATTACACTGACAAGGCTAAAGGGACAGTTCTTAAACATTTGGACAATGGTCATACCTCCATTTATTATAGTTTTCGGTGCTCCGTGGACTTCACATATCTGAGTCAAAGAGCTCAGAATTTAACTTTTTGAGATGGCAATGTGTCCGTGATTACTGCTTTTGGAATTGAAAAATGTTTTAATGATAGGTCACTTCACTGCTTGTCTCTGTATAATGTAAAATGGTTTGCCTTTTGTATTTGCAGACAAAACCAAAGTCTAAATCGACACAAAAACCAGAGAAGGACACTTACAAAAAGGAGGAAGGTGTAGCAAAGAAGAATAAGAGTTCCAAGTTTAACAATCTGAACACAGTGAGAAAATCTCCCTTTAAACCCTTCCCTGCCAAGAGGACTAGTCGCACGTCGACATCACGATCTACGACAACATCGAGACGACCAACAACACACTATGTCACTAAACCAAGGAGAACTACAACTAAGGTGACTCCAACGACAGTTACAACAACTACTCCACGTACAACTACGACAAAGCCACGACGTTCCACACACAGAGTAGTCGTATCCTCCAGAAGATCCCCATACAAGAAACCAGTGACACACAAAAAGCTGTCAACCCGTCAGCCAACTACAAGGCAGAGAAGAACATCAACATCTACAGTTTCACCAACTGTCACTTCAACAAAACGTACAAGAAGTTCCACCTCCAGGCGGTATTTGAGAACGACCAGACCTACCAGACCGTCTTACAGACATACGAGCACACGAATGCCATTTTACCTACGATCCATCCCTACACGTCCAACTCAAACTAAACGAGTGACACCATCACTTCCCCCAGTAATGTCCTCTTCACCTAAACATCCTCAATGGGTCCCTATTGTAATCACTACTAAAGGAGTAAAACCAACAATGCCAACTTTAAAGAAATCTTCACATGATCTGAAAAAGCATAATCTCAAAAACTCACTGTTATCTAGAAAGGTAGCACCCAAGAAGAAAGCTGGCGGTGTTAATAAGATTGGACCTAAACCTTCTAATAGAAAGAGTCCTTATACTCCTCCTCCCTCCTATCTGGAAAAGCAAGCTTCTTTCCCTGGTGCAGGTGTTAACCCATCAGCACCCACCAAAGTTTCGCAGCTGAAGTGGCCATCAAAGAAAGTCATCAACGTTTTCCAAAAGTCGACATTGAAAACTGAACTTTCGAGTTTTGAAGCGGTATCCTCTCCTAAAACAACTAGCGCGAATGTGAAGAGAGTCACAAAGCCGACAAGGGTAAATGTTGTCAGCAAACCATCAGCCGTGGTGTATGATCATGACCTTTTAGAAAGATTAAAGAGCACGACTCCCAGGGCCCGTTACAGTTTAAAATCATGGACCAGATCAACAATAACACCAACAACAACATCAACATCAACATCAACTTCTACTACTACAACCACCCCATCAACGACCAAACCGGCACGGCGGCCACCGTATTCATTCAAGCCTTGGAGTAAATCAACTTTTAAACCAATGACCTCAACCATTTCTATTCCAAAGCCAAATACTACAGATGTTGAGACTGAGACAACCGTATATACTTCATCCTCTACAGCTTCTCCATCAACAACTTCTACACCATTTACAACTACATCTACAGCGACTTCAAGCACAGTGACATCAACAACTCTTCTATCCACAAGTAACAGACCAAGAACAACCAGAAGGCCTCGATACACCTTCAAACCATGGAGCCGGACCACACGCAAATCAACCACACCAGAAACAACAACGGCCATTGACCCAACAACCACTGTCGACACAGGAATGAGAGCTGCAATGTTCAAACCAAGACTGAGTGCACCAACAATGACTCCAAGAATAAGTACATCTCTTCCCAAATTCAGGCCTTGGACGAAAACAAGAACATTTACAACAACCACATCTCAAAAACCTTCATCCACAAAGGCTTTCTTCCTTTTTGCTCATCTCACCAAACCAACTACTACACCCTCTAGAAAACAAACTGCCACGCCTACAACTAGAAGATCTACAAAGTCTAGTAAACAAATCTCAAGATCAACTGTTAGTCAAACTACTAAACCAACCACAATGCCAACAACGAAACCAACCTCAAGACCAACTACTAAACCAACCACAAAACCGTCTACAAGGCCAACAACTACGCCGACCACAAAACCGTCTACAAGGCCAACAACTACGCCGACCACAAAACCATCCACAAGACCCACTACTAAGTCAAGCACCAGACCAGCTATTAAGCTAACAACGAGACCCACCACTAAACTAACCATGAGATCAACAACATCAACATCAACATCTCCACCCACAACATCAACCTCAACCTCAAGATCAACACTAACAGCACGTAGGACAACACAAAGGGCACGGCCTTCCACTAAGACTTCAAGGCAGTGGAAGCTGACAGCAACACCATCGGCCATCGTAAAGATAATAAAGGAGAAGACATTCCCAATGAGGCGGACAACTCAGGCTACTAAAGTGACGCTTCCACCCAGAAGAACTACTCCACGATTCACAAGGAGACACCCCGAAATTAAGTTTACCAAAAGAGGACCTGCAAGGAATATAACATCCAGTACCCCAGACCTAAGAGCTGGAGCAGATGAAGACTTTGCAACATCAACATCGACTCACAAGCCTACTGCTCCTACTACAACTATCAGATCTCGCAGTGTTAACCTGAAACTAAATGATAGTCACCAAGATTCCGACTACAGACGAGCAAGGAAATCAACATCTCCAAATCCTACTGGACCCCAGAAAATATTTGCTTGGATGACAGCAAAAACAACTAAATCATTCACGGCGAGTGAAACAACCACAAAAGCCACAACCAGGTCCAAGACCACTCCATTGAAGACAACACAATCAACAGCAACGTCTACTACAACGACACCTACTACCACAAAAACCTATTCCACATCCACGACATCTACAACAACTTCATCACCAGCGGCTACAACCAGAACCAGTACTGTAAAGCGAACGACCCACAGCCTTATGGAGGCCGGCCTTGGACTTGATCATACTCACCCAAATGTCCAATTTTCATCCCTAACGAAGGGTGTCAGGAAAGGTTTCGTCAATAACAGACGCGGAATGCGATTCTTTAAAAGACCCTTCAGTAGGGTAACGCCACCACGGCTTGCCACTCCGCCGCCTCCAACTGACAGAGCGTATGTCCTCTCTGTTCCCAAAACAAGTGACTGTGACCACCAGAATGAAGACATCAGACAGCCTGACGTTCAAGAATCGCTAGACAACCAGAACATTCAGAGACCATTGATAATGAACACAGATTACATTCCACGACGACCAAAATTGAGAAAGCGTCCACACCACGGATTCATAGTTGAGAACCTCAAGAACAACCTCTACAGAAGACAGGAACGAAACAAGAACAACCATAACTACAATTATAAAATCGCTACGAAACAGACAAAGCCCCAAAGAATTTACAGCACAAATGTCAGATATAACGTTCCTTCTCGGAATTCCTTCCGACAGACAAGACCACAAACTGGGTATAATATTCCATCACGGAGGGTAACACAGCCACAGAAGATAGTCATCGATTACAGAGTTCCCAGAGGAAAGTACGACACGGTTCAACAGAATCTGGAGATAAAAGCACAAGAAAAGAGACCTGTCGTGGAAGCCACAGAAAAGGAGAACTTCAATAAATTTGCCATTCCTGGTGAGTAACAACTGGTGTTAAATTAGTATAATAGTAATAGGAAATCATTATGAAACAGCTACGCAGCTATAACAATAATCCGACAACCCAAAAAGGCCAATAGCCACCGATCAACGGGTATTCTACAATACCAGGGTTATAAAAACATAATCGTTCGAGCTTCTACCAAATGAGAATTGGCGGTTGAGTAGCCTTGTGGGTAAGGCTTTTGCTCTTCTATCAGAAGACCCGAGTTCGATTCTCCCAATGGGTACAATGTGTGAAGCCCATTTCTGTTCTACTTTGCCCTGATATTGCTTGAATATTGCCACTAGCAACTAAAACCATACACACTCATTTATATTTGTTGAACAGCTGGTACACTAACGAACCAGATTAGTAATTACTTGTATGATAAATGTTAGCTAATTAGTTAAATCTGAAAGTACTCTCATTTTGACATTATTTTCATATTACTTTTCAGAATTCCGATGCCCGTCAGTGTTTGGAATATTCCCGGACAGAAGTGACTGTCACAGTTTCTATCAGTGTGTGTGGTTTGTGCCATTTCATCATATGTGTGGTAAAGGAACTGTATGGAACGATACCATGAAAATCTGTGATTGGCCGCAGGCAGTTACCACGTGTTCAACGTGACGTCACAAGAAGGCTCACGTGAGAGCCACCTGAAAGACTTTGGGCAAACTCTGGGTTTGGTAAATGTAAATAGCAACTTGTTTATACTATGATATTTTATCAAATGTTGAATATATTTTATACGTGTATATAGTTTATACTGTTTTCATTACTTTTATCAGAAGAAGAATGCATTGATATTGCCAGTTTTATCTTCTTGTGAATAAAATATTCTTTATACGAAATGATGAAATTGCTTGATTGTTTGTGCAAGGTCAGATAATTAGGAAGACAGCCATTCTGACATTTTGTCAATTCAACAACACCGATTATGATACTTCGCGCAACGGAACAATGTAATCGTTGGTTTCACCAACGTGAGAAACGCCATGAAACGCCGTGATAAAACTGAATACTGTCTAAGGTCCACGCAACACTTGGCCCTGTTATGTGTCTGACGTGAATGTTACATAATATTTGACATATGTACTTACATATGCACACAGTCTCACTTTCCTATTATGTAATTTACAGAAAGCATACACTGCATAAGGAGAATGTCAAGGATCATAAACATGTGTATGACATTTGCAAAGTCCACTGCTCTGAAACATGACAGCATTGAAGAATATGTCTCGACTATCTGCCGAAATTGATACCATAGGATGTAAAGGGCAAAATAGAGGTGCATTTATAGGACTGGATCACAGGAAAGTAGCGATGATACCGGTGCATAGTCATTATGGAACCATTCTGTAGCGTGTTCGATGCTGTTTATTTTATTCTTAAGTGACGTTTTGTATGAAATTCTAACCTTGGCTGCGCGCAGTGATGTTTGGATCAAATAACATTTCAGCAACGTCAATTTGGGTGATAAGGAATGTCGAATCACGTTCATGCATTCAAAGAATAACAACTGTATCTTGAAAAATAGAGTAAGGAGAGGTATTCGGCAAATGTTATGACACGCACGGCCTCAGCGAAGCATACAGAGACATTCAAGGCCTCAGTAAAGGTTACAAAACGTTTTATGGGAGAGATGTGAAAAAGAATTCCAAATTTGACGCAATAGTGATTAAATATGATGTCCAATACAATGTATTTGTGTGACTTGTGCCATATGGTACCTTTTTCGTTCAGATAAATATTGACATGCCTTTGCGTGTGTTTCTGTCGGTAGCCACTAGTGGGGCAAGTTACGCATCACCATGTGATGTCACTATAATAGTTGATGGTGACTCCTACACACATGCTTATGACATAGTTCGGGTCCAAAAATCAACTCAATTTACATTTCTTATGAATATTGGAAGGGTTTTGTCGCTTTTATTCAATAAAGAAATAGCATCCTAAACATTCTGAGCCGGGATCTTAAAGTCCAGTACATGCAAACATGTACAGACAATAAGAACAACCGCTTCCTTTATGAAATACTCTTGATAGAAAACACTCAAAACACTGAAACTCTTTTACAGACTGACTTGGCTTTCAAATTTCCAAAGCACCTGACAGCATACACAAGCATTCAATAACAAAATACAAAGTGTTTCTATTACGTTGTCTACAATGCTGTTTGTGTACTACTCAAAGACAATGGTGGGCAGTGTTAGGTGAAGGTTGGCTGACACAGCTGCTCTGACCCTTACGTCACCTGGCACAGTCATAATATTCTCTTCATTGAAGTCAAAGGTAACGTTTGACAAATACATCAGCCAACAGCAACATAGTGTTCTTCAACACATCCATGTGAACTAAGGAATATTTCTTTAATGAAATGATCATGGCTTTGTTGACAAACATTTCGTTGTCCAAATGCAATTTCCTGACATTTGAAGTCTTTACTGCCTACGTGTGCATCCTTGACATATATTTAGCCAAAGGTGGTCATGATTTTAAACCAAATACAGATCATCATGTTAGATTGTGCGTTTGACTACGAGTAAGATTATAAAACACGTACAGCACACCTGTGTTGATAACAACCAGTGGCATCACCTCGGATACATTCAACACTGACATTTTTCATCCAGACAAAGAAACAGTTGATGGCAGATACGTTTGTTTAATGTCACATTTTTATTCATATATTCCGTTAACTGATGTGTAGTGTCAGGAATGTTCAATTTGCATGTGGTCGTGAACACGGCTGTCCAAAGATTGAGACATCGGATCTGTTTTTTCAGGTATGTCACTGCTCAATGTTTAACACTCGTAAGATGTTGCCTTGATGCACATTTATTCTGCAAAAGAACAGAATTGGGTTATTTGTAGTTTTTCTCTACTTCCAACAAATTATCAATTCGATCACACGGTTTGTGAGCAATCTGGTCCAGAGAAACCGTAGAATCAAAAGAATCCAAAATCAACGCTGTTCGCACGACAGACCACTAAAATCAGAGACCTGTTACTTGAAGCGATCTTAGCATCATTATTGCCATTACTCACATTCTTTGACATCAGGTTCCAGTAGTCCAAGTGCTAAACCGCTTTGTCTAACGGGGCACCGGTCATACAACTGTGACAATTCGGACCTTACGACAACAATGAGATACTGTGGTACGTGTCTAACCCGGAATGTCCAACAAGGCGATAACACAGAAGACGAATGGGATTGAAGACTCAAGAATAGTGACCTTACAGTGAGTCTGACCCTCACGCATGCTAACACCCTGAGTAATCCATCCCTACAGCTTACACATGGTACTCATGAAGGGGTCACTCTGATAATATAATGACAAAACCTAATAAGCTGAATATTTAATTGGTCATGGTGATGCAATAAAGTGAATCGCATTCAAGTGTTACCTACAAGGATAGAAAACTCGTGTGTATTAACATAACTATATTTGCACCTTTGCATTGTAGAGTATCTCACTGTTAGTTTGTAGTTATGCGATAAGTACTAAAATAATCGTCCTTTGTTCGTGGTGTCAGAAATAACATTAAGTTAAACAATAGACTTTAAAGAAGTAATAATAAATAATAATGTGGGTATTTATATAGCGCTACATCCAGGTACTAATACCCGCTCATGGCGCAACAATACTATAGGAGAAAAGAAAATAGGTAAAACTATTTACAGAGAGACAATTGAACATAGAAAGTCTAGTAATAGGCAAGACGAAAAAAGTGGGTTTTTAGAGACGATTTAAATGTGTCCAAAGATTCAGCATTCTTGATGTGAGTGGGCAAGTTGTTCCAGAGACTGGCGGCTGCGTGTTGGAATGATCTTTTCTCATAGGATGAGAGTCGAACTTTAGGAATGAAAAGTAGCTGGTGATTCTGGGATCGTAATGGTCGGGTTGGAATGTACTGACACAGAAGACAGGAGAGGTATTCAGGTGTTTGTCCATGTAGAGTCAAAGAACCATTTAATTTAGTTGGTCATTGTACGCATCGACTAAAGTATAAAGCATGAGTTCGGTATATCCGTCCGTTCGTTATAAACGTGTTCGTCATAACGTAGTTTACTGTGAACAAGGAATTAATGGAGTATCTTTCTATGATTCGTTCACGCGAAGTACTTCAGGTCTCCATTTAGGCAGTAATAGTACATGAATAATAGAAATCATAACATGTTTACATGGTGACATATCTTTTCGTCTGACACCATTAAATGCTAAAAATTAAAAACAATTAAACTTTCTTTAATTATGAGTTAGAACGGGCCATCGTATCTTGCACAGGGCTTTTCAATGACATTTCGAAATTTAACGTCTCTGCTCTAAACGATAGTAAAAAGTATCCATGAACCTTGTAACTGCTCGTACTGACAGAGGAGCGAATATTGACCGTATCAACAGAACACGTTGACCGTTTAAACATGGTCCATTAGCTGTTACGGACAACTCCCCATCAGCATACGACAATGTATACACGTAGAATAAGATCTGTAGTTCCCAATGAAGATGAAAATATTTGAAATGACCAAAATAAAACAGTCACACTGTGTCTGGTGATTGCTACCGGTACAGCAGAATATGCTTCAAATATCCTTTTACGAACACGTGATTTCATCGCCGATTTGCAGTGATCCATTCTTATATTTGTGGATATCTGTTTGGCCTTTTGCGCAAAAAAAAGAATCCGTTTCGGTACAATGTATTCAACTGAGACTTAGTGACACTCGTTGAAACATTGTATCCAACAATACCCCTGCAATAATACGGTGGCCTGTAAACGGTCGAGTCAGCAGTCAGTATTTTTATTAAGCCACAGTCATTTCGCTATTCATCTTTTATATACTTTAATTCCTTTAATTGCAGACATGGCATTCATTCATTTATTGTTTCCCAGTGATGCAAGGTTTGTAGTTTTAAATGGTTTAAACATATTTTATTGTCCAAAAGACAACGGGATTAGGCACAAGTGCACGACTTATGGTCGGATCGCC